ACTGTATTGGAAAAATTGTAGGAACATGGCTAAATTTAAATTTTTCAGTATTTTCGTTTTCAATGATTAACTATAGAAAAATGTTTCGAGGTAGATGTATGTGGAAAATGTATATATTATCTTCTGGTGTTACTGGTGTAAATTGTTGCAAAAAACGAATAATGACAGAGTGTACGATACGATAGTTACAAGCGCGTTACACCCGAAGGCAGCACATAACGAAGCGTTTTAGCCACTAATTTTTAGGCTAATTTTAAAAAATCATTGCCAAGACATTAAGAGTTTAAATTTCGGGATTATATTAAGAATAGTGCTGTTGAAGAATGCATTTATTTTCATTATCATATTTGATTTTTTTTTTCCGGAAACTGAAAGGAATTAAAACTTTAAAATATAGGTATATCTAGTTAATATTACCTAATTTATTATGCCAAAATTTTAATTTTTAAACAAAATTACTTTTTGAAATATCCTTGTCCGAAAATTATAAAGGCCGCTGTATTTATTTTAATATACCAACATACAGGGTGTTTCGAAATTCATGAGACAAATTTCAGGAGGTGATTGCTCGTATTAAAATTAAGATGGGTGTTTCCTATAACAAAATTTCCTCAGCCCACCCCTTTCCGAGATATCACCCTTAAGAGGTGGTGACTAAAATCGAGTTTCTATTTTTTTTTCTAAAATTTCAGTAAAGCTAAAAACTTGAAATTATGTAATTTTCGTGCACTCGCAAAGGACTAACCACGGTTATTTTTTCAATATTCCTGTTACATTATAGGGGGGTAAAATTAGCAACCCTTACTTTATTTCATATCAAAACTTTTTTTGGGGATGAAGTTCTATGAAATAATTTTGTAACTTGAAATACTTGTTTTATTTAAAAAAATTTTCCCAAAACCAATACCTTCATAGAAAAAAAAACCACTCAATTTAATAAAAAAAAATGATAAATTAGGGTGTTAATTTTTTTTCTCTGAAGCTATTGGTTTTGGGAAAAAAATTCAAGAATAAAAAAAAATTAAATAAAACAAGGATTTCATAAAAGTTCATCTCGAACAAAAGTTTTGATATGAAATAAAGTAAGTGTTGCTAATTTCACCCCCCTATAATGTAACAGAAATATTGAAAAAATACCCGTGGTTAGTCCTTTGCGATTAGAGAATTTCAAGTTTCCAGCTTTACTGAAATTTTAGAAAAAAAAATAAAAACTCAATTTTAGTCACCACCTTTTAAGGATGATATCTCGAAAAGGGGTGGGCTGAGGAAATTTTGTTATAGGAAAGACCCATCTTAATTTTATACGAGCAATCAGTTCCTGAATTTTGTCGCATGTATTTGGAAACACCCTGTATATTACACATTTTTTTTAAGCGGGCAAAATTCTTGACAATCTCTTTCCCTTAATTGGCACACGTCGTATTTCTTTAGGATTTACTAACTCTGGCAGCAAACAAATAAAATAGAAATTTGGCAGCTTTGTATTTTTGCCTTCCATAATTTTCATTTCATAAATTAACTAAAAACTAAATTAAACAAAAACCTAACAACGCCTCAACAACAAACGAAGACGATCACAATAATTTTGCACCTCTTCAAAAACAACTACCTATTTTTCGACACAGGAATTAACAAATTTAACTAAACAGCAGCTACCCTTTTAACCACGAGCTTCATATACCAGCAGCGTTGCCATATTCAGTGGTATCATTGTTTTAATAGAATTAGTATCGGAATGAAAACTATGTTAATCTTCGGTCCTGTTTAAAATTGGTAATCTTTTTGAAAAAAAGTTATTTAGAAAATAGTTAAGATATTTGTTATAGAATGACGCTAAAGAGCCAAAAAATTAAATTTCTTAAAAAGTTGACATTTTTTCGCGGTTTAGCGTCATTCTTGGTTCATTTTTAGAACGATTGGTCTGAACCATTTTTTTTACAATTTTTTTTAACTGCCTCAAATGTAAAATTGATTTTTGGCGGAGGAGCGCCCGTCATGTTTGCTCTTAATAAGCGAGAATTAAATGAAACAAATTGATAAACAATAGATGTGAAAAATTGTTTTAACAATTTAATCTTTAGAGAAACTTATTTTATTTACATATTGCCTTAATCAATTTATCCACTATAAAAGTATATTTCTTATCAGTTATTACATGTAATAAAATAAAGTATAAAACATACAAACTAATAGGTACCTACTTAAAATGGAACTAGTATTTAAAAAAAAAATCTGACCGAAAGATGTAGAATAAATTGTCGCAACGGTTTTTAAAAATTACGTTTTTATTTCTTTGGCATTATGTGTCCAAAAGTGTACTAAATTTCTAAACTAATGCATTTAAATAGGCCGTTAAATAAATAATTAAACTCCACCTTGTTAATACTTCTAGTAAAGGAACATACTTTACATTTAGACATATTCATAAACAGCTTGTTTTCATTACACCAATTTTCAACGATGCCTTAATAATAACTACATATAAATAACTCATTTGAAATTGGTCGGTGATAGATACCATAAGTCTGTAGTATATTTACCTGCATTAAAATAGTTTACAATTCAAAACCCATTGGTTATATTTAAGCAGTACCCCGCGCATATGAGAACATTATTATGTTCCTCAATAAGCCAAAAGGGTTTATCGTTTTGAATATTTTGTCTTGAAATTGAATTCTGATATTTCAAAAGAAGAGTCACTTCCATGATTTTATGTAATATTCAATGTTTTAACTGATAGTTGGCAACGTTGTAACCAGTTAGAATTATTATATAGCGCGAATAATAAACAATATTTTTATATCAATTTGCTTCTAAATGCCCAATTAAACGAATACATGAAGAATTTCTTAGAATACTTTTACATAAAAAATATTAAAAATTCCAATGCGATATAGCTAATTGTACAAAAAAAGGCTTACCAAAATATGAGTGGCATATCATGACGCTTTTGTCAAAAATAAGGGTAGATTCACTGATCTATAATACAGATCAGTGGGTAGATTAGATATTAGATTTAAAAGGAGTTTCACATTATTTTTCCGTGTCTACCGCGACCTTTTCAGATCTATTGTTGGACTCCGTTTGTTTTAGAGTATGTCATCTAACCTTGGACTTTCTTATTAGACTTAGTTTCCTCGACAGTGGCATTCACATGCGTGTAGTTACATGTGTCTGGCTTTTCTTCATCTAGTATTAGAAACCTCAATCTAGTTAGGCTTTCCCATTGGTACAGGACGTGAAGTGATGTTTCATTTTCTTATTCACAGAAGTCGAATAAATAAAAAAAAAATAAATTACAAAATATCTTAGAATTTAAAAATAATATAATATTGTAAAAGAAGTGAAAACTTACTTATAAGGAGATAAAAATAAATAAATACCTTGGGAGATTCTAATTCTAGTACACACCAACTACGAATGCTTATTATATTGTTCTTACTTTTTTTTCGCAAAAAAGTAAAATGTATACATGTATTTGATACGCCAAAATTACAAAATATCGCCCTAAAGTGGTCAAATTATCTGCAGCTTGCGCTAGTATTGCTTTTGCTTTCCCTACCATGACTTCGCAAATATAATCATCAAACGTTTCCATATACATTTTTTATACTACTTCCCTCAACGAAGTATGTACTAAAAAAAAGTTTTCAATAATGGGTTTAGTACAATCAAAAAAGTTTACTTTGGGTTTATTAAACTACAACTGGGAGACAACAGTTCTAAGCTATACAGGGTGTTAAAAAAAAAGTGTTACAAAATGAAATGGTGAATAGTATGACCCAAAATAAGCAGAAAAGTCTTAATAAATATATGACCGCAAATTAACGGTTTCGGAGATATGGACCATTTTGTGTTTATAACAATTTTTTATTATTATAAAAAAACAATGATATTTATAAACAATCAATAACAACATAGAGTTAAATGAAGGGATGTGGCGATTAGGGAAAGCGTCGATATACTGACGTAGCGCTTCCCTCGCATTGCCATTTGCACGACCGTACATAAAATGCATGTCAGCTAATTCAATATTAGTGTAAACAGGCATAACGAAAATTTATAAAATTATTCACCCACAACAAAATAATAACTGCAAATAGTATCTATGAAAAAACATCGGTAGACTCCGATAAGAAAAGCAAGTTTTTGAGAATGAAAAAAGATAATTAAAAAATGATACAAAACACTCCGTATCTCTGAAACCATTCATTTGCGGACATATGTTTATTAAGACTTTTCTGCATATTTTGGCTCATACTACCCCCCGTTTTATTTTGTGACACTTTTTTTAACACCCTGTATATACCATAAAATAACCAGTTTCTACAATTAGGTATTTTTATATCAAGAAATAAATAAAACCCTAGCATAGTTGTTACGCCCATGGATATCTACTTTATTAAATTTCATTAGATTGATGTTGACACAACCTACCTGTGAAAATAGCGAGCATTGGTTTTGGTTGGTTTTGGTCCAAAATGTTCGGAAAACCATGCATCCCTTTACTATTTTGAAATGTATAATCACGTTTGTAGACAATTTCTTTTATATAAATAAATAAAACAAGAATATTCCACTAAAATAAAACACCCAACAACACTTTTAAAAACATACACAAATAGGGTTGCCACATGTTCAGTTAAAATAAAGAATTTAATGGTTAAACCGATGTATCCTAGTAAACAAAATCTAAAAACATCTAATTTAAACACCGATTCAACAAACATTAAATGAGAAATTTTATATATATGATCCAGATTCCTGAATAAACTATTCTGAATAAACTATTAAATATTAAGCTCCATATTAAGTATCTTGAACCTTAAAACATTGGGAACTAATCATTATTATCCTTATACATTTAATCGAAACAGACACTGTGGCAACCTCTGCTGGTACCATCGTTTGTTGTGTATGCGATTATGGACCTTATTATCATACGACAATTGTTTATGAAAACAAGGCGTATCTAATCTCACGATACACATACCTCAGAAGATCGTTCTTTATCCTGTGCACATACTAAGTAGTCTGTGTATCGTGCTCGAACTCACGGTCAGTCATTGTGACATTTTTGTTACACCTAATTTTATACAATGTCATTTTTACTAGACTATTTTATACACTCCATTGCATTTAAAACGTGTGTTTGTATCTTTTTTATGCTAAATATATTACATGTTCAAAGCTTTGAGCCACAGTATTCCCTGGAAACAAGATACATTGATGTACCCTTAGACCATTTTTCTGCTGTGGCAAAGCCGAAGTACTTTAAATTAAGGTATTTAATAAACGCCAAATATCACGTCAAAGGAGGACCAATATTTCTTTATACTGGAAATGAAGGAGATATTTCGATTTACGGTCAAAATACAGGTTTCATGTTTGACATTGCCCCTGTCTTTAATGCACTTGTGGTTTTCATTGAGCATAGATATTACGGACAATCACTGCCATTTGGAAACACGTCATTTTCTTCCCCAGAAAACTTAAGGTAATACAAAAAATCAGTTTAAAGTTTAAACTGCTACTCGTCTTAGATCCAGACATATCTATCTACCTTTTCTTTCCTATTTAAATATATAATATTTTGTAAATTTTAATATAAATCGTAAATATGATAAATTTATTTTATAGATATTTAACAACCACCCAAGCTTTGGCAGATTTCGCTTACGTTGTTAATGAATTGAAGAAAAACTTCTTTGAAAATGTTATATCTTATGATACCTACCCTTTCGTTGCTTTCGGAGGGTCATACGGAGGAATGCTAGCTGCTTGGCTTAGAATGAAGTATCCATATTTAGTATTAGGAGCTGTTTCATCTTCGGCTCCGATTTTTGGTTTTCCAGGAATGGCAAGTTGCGAATTATTTTACGAGAAAGTAACCCAAGTTTTTGAAAAATATGGTAGAGAGCAGTGTGTCAAAACGATTAAACTTGGATGGGATGTCATCGTCAATTTATCCAAGACAAAATTAGGTAATATAAACTTATTCCATTAGAAACCGAAAATTACTTATTGTATCATATATTATCTTTATTGATAAGTACTCATCTGCATTCTACAATAAAGAGTCATATTTATTATTCCTCTTAAACTATAAAATATGAGGAATACATTAAAAGCGACTTGGACATAGAAGGAGAAGAAGAAGAAGAAGAAGAAGAAGAAGAAGAAGAAGAAGAAGAAGAAGAAGAAGAAGAAGAAGAAGAAGAAGAAGAAGAAGAAGAAGAAGAAGAAGAAGAAGAAGAAGAAGAAGAAGAAGAAGAAGAAGAAGAAGAAGAAGAAGAAGAAGAAGAAGAAGAAGAAGAAGAAGAAGAAGAAGAAGAAGAAGAAGAAGAAGAAGAAGAAGAAGAAGAAGAAGAAGAAGAAGAAGAAGAAGAAGAAGAAGAAGAAGAAGAAGAAGAAGAAGAAGAAGAAGAAGAAGAAGAAGAAGAAGAAGAAGAAGAAGAAGAAGAGAGAAGAAGAAGAAGAAGAAGAAGAAGAAGAAGAAGAAGAAGAAGAAGAAGAAGAAGAAGAAGAAGAAAAAGCTGAATTTCTTCTATTAAAGCTTAAACTTATATTTAAACCCCAATGTGAGGCCCGAAAATAGATTTATTGTCGAATATCACAGCTAGATATGATGTCTAATTTACGATATAAGACAGAATCCAGTCCAGAATCCTTTTAGATAGTGACTCTATCAGTAATATACCATTAGTGATATATTGCTGAAGTTCCTTGGAATTATCAACATTCTATTTTTTTAAATAGATTAAGAACGTTCCTTTTTATTTAAAATCCTTCATTGGAAAAATGAGCAATTTTCAAAAAACTGTTTCATTATTATTAAGACAAAAGAATAGTAAATTTATGATATATAATATAGGTGTAGTAATAGTAATAATTGACCCAAGTGTAAAATACACCGAATTATTTTTAATTTACAATTTTACGAACTAAACCAAAACAGAAAACAAAGCTAAGTACAATGGCAAATTTCCCCACTAAAGATAAAGGAAATAAACATTTATTAATTAATTGAATATGCTTAAATATTTTAAAAATAAATTAATCAGTCTCTTACAGGGTATATATAAACTCAACAAACAATACTTTCCTCAGCAGAAACAAACTGCTATCTTCGAAACTGATTTATTCAGATAAAATATAAAATAAAAAGGGGGTTAGATGATTTTTATATTATCGTGACTTAACACGTAAACAGTAATCAATATATGATTTGTTTTTATATACCGAATGATTACTAACTAGTTACAATATAAAAGTCTACTAATATATAAACCATGTAGTCATACAGCACAAAACATAACAAAAGAACTAATTACTTAACAAAAGATCATATTGAACATTAATATTTTTAATTTGTTTAAAAGTGAGACCAGTTGTCCTTGTCAAAAGCTTTCCAATATTCTGAATACACCTGCAGATTTGCATCTAGTGAGCACAAAATGTATTGCTAATAAACGGTCAATTTGCTGATTTTGGATTTACAAGTTACAAATGAAGGGGTTAGAATAAAAAGGGCATAAGTAACATTTTCATTGTTTGGAGGTATTTGAAGTTAAAGTTAAGTTACTATAAAAAAGTCAGTAATTGTTTGTAGTAATGTTTTGAATTATTTTAATTAATTAAAAAATAGTTGAATTGTTGTTCCAAAGTTTGTGTTTAAAACCACATCTAATTTAAAAAAAAAACGAGGACTTACACCCTTCTTATTCCAAAAAATTTGCCTTATAAAGTAAAAAATAAAGTAAATACTGGTTTAAAAAGCAAACTTTATTCACAAAGTGGGAAAAGATACAATAATAAGATGTCTATTCATTACTGTCGGAATTAGAGTTCAGAAGCATATCATCCACGTCTTAAACAGATTCAGAATCAGAGTCACTTAAAACAATATTTTGTGTCTTTTTTGACGTCGACGCACTCAAAACAGTAGTTTTGAAAGTTTAATTTTTCGTTTTCTTCCCCTTGGTGCTATAATTTTTTCTTCCTTTTTTGAGATTTTTATAGAAGCTGTGATATACTGGTGGTACAAACTCTAACAATGTCTGTAAATTTTTCCACTTTTCCACCGAAATAGAGACAGGATTTTCGTTTAACTTGGAGCAGAATATTTTCTGCAAATCGGTGGGTGGTCTACCATTACCCAAAAAAGGACAGTGGCATGTCAAAAAGAGGATTTACAATAGAACGTACAAAAATTTCTTACAAATAATCCACGACCTAATTCATTTAAAAACAACATTCCAGGAGATGGAGATGGATGGTGTAAAAGGTTTCTTCGTCGTCACCCTGATTTAACTGAACGTCAACCAGAAGGAGTGCAAATGTTTCAGAAACTGATATTATAAGTTAGTTGAAAAATGTCGAAACATATTTAAAATATACTATTTATTTTAACATTTTGAAAGAACCATCAAAAGTGTTTAATTCTGATGAAACGAATTTTCAGCTTTGTCCAAAAACCAAAAACGTCATTGCTCTAAAAGGCTGTGTTTCTGAAGTAGACAAAGGACAGGCAAAATCTAACATCACTGTTCTTTTCACGATGTTCATAAAGATATATTATTCCAAAAACTACTCAAAAAAATGATAATACACAAAGCAATGAAATGTTAACTAAAAATATTGGACTTCTTAATAAAGAAGACTTTTTAATTAATTTAGATTTTCCAAATAATATTGCTGATAAAAATAATTTTGATGAAGAAAATTTGTTGGTTTTTGACGATATTATAAATAGATACTCTCCCACTTCTTTGCGTCCATTTGAGAATCCAAAAATATTTACTCCTGAATGTAATAAATTGAAACATTTATCCGAGCTCTCAATAGTTTTGTCTTTAATAGAGGATATAACAGATATTCTAGTGTGGTCAGTTACTCCTCACAAATAAGAAAAAAAAAAGTGAAAAGGACCCCTTCCGTGCTAACTTCTGAAGAATGAAAATCCATCAAGAGAGAAGAAATATTGAAAAAACAACAAGCTGAAAAAGAAAAAGATGATTAAAAAAAAAGAAAAGAAAATACAGTAAAAAATAAGCCTTAAGTATTACAAAGTCGCAAGTAAAAAGAAAATAATTCAAGACCAATTTGAATACCACAAAAAATAAAAAGAAAGATACCTCTTCAGCTTCAGAAGAAAAAATTAATATAATAAGCAATATACTTATTAAGGATAAACCTACTTATCTTCGAAAGATTCAATTTGACGAAAATTTGGAGGTACCAGAAAAATATCAAGGTAATCATGGATCCATTAAAGATTCCGTGGAATCTACTAAAAATCCGAAGGGGCTTCAGTAAGAGAAAAAAATTATGAGGTTGATTTTTGTAATAACAGTCGAATTTAAAGGAAATTATTTTTTATTTGTACCAACAAATTAAATGATATAATCGAAGGTATCAAATGTTTAACATGCCAGAGAGTTTTTCATCCCCAAATGCATCAGGAAATATAATCCATGGTTTATTGATATTTCAAATCGGCATATGATTAAAACTATAAATAGAATAAGATGTAAACATGGGTTATATCCTGAACACAAATTTAAGATAGGTTTGACAGATTCCCCATTCTGTAGTTGTAGGCAATTGGGTAATTTACAACAGCTGCCCCAATTTTCAAAATCTAAATGAAGAATTTTACAAGAACCTGCAATTAACAGGAGCAACACTCCCCGCCAACTTAGATGCGCTTTTATGTTCAAAAAATATAAAATTGTACTGTTATATATGAACATTTGAAAAAAATGAATCAAGATATTTAAAAAAAAAATACAGATATAATAATAAAAAAAAGAAAAACAATAATAAAAACAAAACAAAAAAAAACAAAAACAAAAAAAAGTATATATATATATAAAAAAAAAGAATTCGTCGCCTAAAATATAATTATTTATAATTAATTGTATCACAACTGTTTTAACTGTTGTTTAATTGTTAATATGATGAAATTTTTGTACTTTTAATAGATTTTAGTTTCCTTCATTATTATTGTATTATTGTAATTTGTGAAAATTGTAAGTAGGTTTAGATTCGTTTTAATAACATTAGCTCTGGCCAATTGATCTGAGATCAAGGCCATCATACAAAACACACACACAATCAAATGCCGCCCATTGTTAAATCTTACTTTAGTTCAAAATAAACTGAGAAACAGGTTTTTATTTTCTTTTATGTCATGTGTGATAACTAACCACTATGTTTTATTTTTATATTCAGTATTATATTATACAACCTATTAAGAATACTGACAAATTTTAATTTATATTTACAGATGACTAGAGTCCTAAGAACGTCTTAAAGTGCCAATAACTATACCTGTTACCCTAGTTTATTCGATATAAATGAATAGTCTTACTTTTCTAAATATACAATTTTTTTTAGGTATGGACTTTATATCATCTTCCTGGAAACTATGCAATAGATTAAAAACCAATGAAGACGTTGAGAAATTACTGAATTGGTTAAGCAACATCTATGAAAATTTGGCAATGCTAAACTACCATTACCCAACGGATTTCTTTTTACCTCTACCAGCTTATCCCGTCAAAGTGTTTTGCGATAAACTCACAACCTCTTACTTTAACGACACGAAAGGCTTGATAGAACACTTCAGTAATGCAATTGAAATATATACCAATTACACTGGGAAAAAAGTATGCAACAACTTAAACAGCACCGTAGAGGATTACAGTGAACGTGCATGGGATTACCAAAGTTGCACAGAACTCGTTTTTCCCAAATGTTCCACAGACGCTGACATGTTTATAACCAAACCTTGGAACTATGAGAATTACGCGGCTCAATGCTACAAAAAATTTGGAGTAAAAGCCTTAGATCCTGGTTGGGCTTTAATGGCGTATGGCGGGAAAAATTTAAAATATTATTCAAACATTATATTCAGTAACGGAATGATGGATCCATGGTCTTGTTTTGGAGTGTTTACCAATCGATCTGCTACAGTATGGGCTTTTAATATTACTGATGCTCCACATCACGTAGATTTAAGACATTCTGATCCAGCGGATAATAATTACATTTTAGATGCTAGAAAATTCCATATTCAAGCCATCAAACAATGGTTAAATATGGTTTGAATGGATCTAGGTGTAGTCCAAATCAATAGCATAATTTGGCAATAAAAAGTTAAAATTATTCAATTGCATTTTATTCGTGATATTATTCTTTGTTTAACATTATGACGTATGTGTTTCTTACAATAATATTTCGAATCTTAGAACGTATGCTGGAGGCGATACATCTACTGGACGATCAACATCGGGTGTTGTTTGCCTTTATTCAGCACGTGCTGTGAGCTGGTTGAGTCAAAAACAAACTTCAGTAGCTATATCGACTACAAAATCTGAAATCGTAGCTTCCAGTGAAGCAGCTCGAGAAATTGTTTGGCTCAAACGTCTTTTGATGGAAATTACTCACTTGAAGGTTATTCCCGAAATTCAAATTGATAACGAAGCTGCTTTGAAATAAGCTCAAAATCCCGAATTCCATAGGCGTACCTAACATATTAGGACACGACATTTTATATTAGATAATTGGTATCAGATGGAGAAATTATTGTCAAGAAGGTATCTGAACTCCAATTGCCCGATACGATAACTATGTCAATCTCAAAGCTTAGATTACACAATCTCTGCCAACGGATAGAATTAAGTGATTAAAAGAAAACTATTTAATGAGGGATAGTGTTAAAATAGTTACATTATCATGTTTTCTCCTCGTATGCCTTTTGGTGTATTTTGTTTGAGCTGTCCTTATTTTTCTCGATCTTATTTTTCAAAAAATAAGTAGCAGGCTTCAATGTAATTTTAAATTCGGACTTAAGTTTTTTAATAAAATCTAAAGACTCTTCAGAGTGAGTCGTAGCAATAAGACCATCGTCAACATAAAGTGCAAGTAACAGCTTCATTGAACCACGTATTTAAAAAAAAAGGGAGGGATCTGCTTCACTTCTTTCAAATCCGTAGTGTTCTAAAAAGCCTACGATCCGTTGGTTCCAGCAACGACGCGCTTGTTTCAATTCATATAAACTTCTTTGCAACCTACAATATTTGTCAGATCCATCACTATATCCTTCAGGCTAATACATGAATATAGTCCCTTCAAGTGCACCATAAAGAGAGGCAGTTGACGCATCAAATTGACTTAGTGTTAACTTTTCATTTGCTGCAATGCTCAGTATAAGTCTCTAAGTCTCTAAGTATAGTTCCAGTTCTAGCTACTGGACTAAATGGTTGAATGTAGTCTAATCCTTTCTGTTTGGCAAATCCTTTAATTACTGGACGAGCTTTGAACTTATCAATAGAGCCATCTGTATTCGTTTTTACTTTAAAGACCCATTTACTTGGAAGTTGTTTTACTCCTGCAGGAAGTTTTTCCAGTGTCCAAGTTTCATTTTCTTTTAAAGACGTAATTTCCTTATCCTTTCTTCCCTTTTCCTTGTCCGAACAGTAAATAGCTTCTAGATAATATGGTTCAATTATGTCATCTATACTAGCTATCGCAGACATTACAGACTCGTCAAATCGTTGCGGTATTTGCATCTTCTTCCTATTCTTCTACTAACGAATTATTATCTTCTAAGATATCATCCGTTTGAGTCTCTGTGTCAACGGTTTCTTTTATTTTTTTCATATTTTTTCTTTTCTTCTTCACGTTCTTTATTAATTTCTAACTGAAAATCTTGTCTGGTTGATAGAGGTACTTTTTGAAATGTTATATCGCGAGATCTTTCTTTAGACCAGATTCGATACCCATCTACACCATCATATTCAACTAAGCTACCTTTTATGGCTTTTTTGTCCATTTTATTCCGTTGTTACTTGGGGGTATGGGCATAGCATGTACTTCCTATAATCCGTAGATGCTTTAAGCTAGGTTTCTTTCCTGTCCACACCTCTATTGGTGATTTTTCCTTAATTTAAGAATAACTACTCAAATTAGGAATATATTTTGCTGAGTTTATCATTTCAGCCCAAAGTCCTTGAAAAATTTGACCATAAGCATGCATAAGAGTTCAAGGTGTTTCTACAAGCGTTCTATTTTCTGTCTCTGTAGAACCATTTTGTTCCGGAGTGTGAGGCATAGTAAATCGTTGTTTTACTCCTAATTTTGAAAGGATGTCTTGGACTTTTTAATTATCAAACTCTCTATCTATTACCTTTATTTAAAATACAAAGATTTTTGTAATTATATAATCATAAAGTGACTTGCCTCTAGTGTTATTACTGAAGTGATGCGCATTGAGTCGCAACCTATTTTTATCTCAAACTTCTGGTCTAGGCAGTAGTCAATCAGTTCCTCCATCTTTTTACTGGGTGATAACGTAGTTGCGTCACAGAGGAGGTATGCAGATGGCAGGATTAACGTTTTCTTTCCCTTTAAATGAAGTATTCCGTCCTAATCACAGTTAAATTGGGAGTAGAAAGGTGTGACATTGAGTAAACTTTGTATTTTCTAGGAATGCAAATGGCTATCCTAGGTTGTTGGTTGCTGAGAAAGCTAAAACTTGAACCATGTAGATTTTTAAGACCTAAAATTTTGGTTTTTATTATCCAGGGTCCAGGCATAATGCTGCCGTAGCCACCTTTTTGTGCTGCAATTTACAATGTATGATTATTACCTCTTTAATTGCTTCCGAGTCCTCCGTTAACTCTACGCCGGTCGCGTAATAACAATTAAATGGGCTACGCCTCTGTGCGTCTAGGTATTCAAGATCGGTCATGTTGGCCATAAAGCCGTTTATTGTATTTTTAGGAAAGAAGTGGCAGTTGTAGTTAAGCTACGTACCAGCGAGGTTCATAGTGTGGCATTCCGTACCGCAGTGCGACTAGTCATGTAAGGACATTTTCTATTTTCTATTTTGTAGTATGAATTCGATATTCATACTTATTTGATGTTACATATCTATATCATGTAAACTTTCTAAAATAACAAACATATTTTTTATTTCAGTGCTTCAAATTGGCGAAAAATGAAATTAAAGGAAAATGAATTGCAAGAGATTGCAGAAAATTTATCTGATATTAAGGATATTCTTGATTTTGAAGATGAGTCTAAAGGAGAAGAGGAAGTTGTTGAAAATGATTTATTTAGTAGTGACTCGGAAAAGAATGTAGATATTGAGAGTGGTGATTTTGAAGATACGCAGCCTTTACAACCAGATAATGAACTTAGTTTCTACATTGGAAAGGACAACGAAATGATATGGAAAAATATTCCTATCGGCAGTAACTAAAGCTAAAAATATTATCAAGGTAAGAGCTGGGGCAAGAGGGACAGCTAGAAATGTAACTAGTGAGCTCCAAGGCCTCTGTAAAGGCTCTATAATGTATTTTTTAACATGTCATCCAGCTCGGCATTGACATCCCTCTGCAGTGCAGGTGATATGGGATAGTACCTCTGTTTAATAGCTAGTGAAGCTGTGTTAATTACATGTTCCACAAAGTGGGTACATCCAAGTTTATCACCCATGACGTTATTAAGAGAGTTAAGTTGTTCTTTAGTTAAAGCTTCAAGTCTACATATTCCACACGTATCCACCATATCAACACTTTCTTCTTCGGATCGAAAACTCCACTCTCCTGTATACATATCAGGTATGATACCCATATTTGACAAAAATCAATGCCTAAGATTAGTTTATGAGGTAAAGAAGGAACACGATATCTTAATTGAATTGGTAGAGAACAAAACCCGATGCTTTGGCAAAATTGCGCATTAGCAACAGTTGGATTATTCGAATACAACTTACAAATTTTTTCCAATATATCCCAACCGGGACCACCTACAACGGTTTTGGATGCTCCACTATCCAATAAACCCAAAAATTCCTTACCTAATATACACACATTTAAATATGGACGTTGGTAGCCCCTCGCATGATCTAAAACATAATTTATTACCGGAATACCATCATAATCATTGGACGTGGGAAATAATATCACATCCTCCAACACATAGGAATATCTTGTAAATCAACCACTGAGACAGAAGTACCTTGATCGCTAATGAGAGAAACGTTAAATATAGGGTTTGATGGTTTCTCATAGGCTAGTTCTGGCTCTACTAAATGACGTTGATTAGTGGATGGTGGACAGAAACGTTGTGTTCGAAACTCAGTCTCTTCGATAACTCGAGCTAACCGGATAAGATCTGTCAAACATTTCACGGAATGGGTTGCCATTTGCAGATGAATATAGTGCAATAGATTTCTTTTTATGATTTGCACCCTAGAGAAGTCGTCTGGTAAAACTGACAATTTCTGGAATAAATTTATAACCCTTTCCTGGCTACCTTGTGTCCGATTACAAATTTTCTCCAATAGTGAGAATTCATAATCGTACGGTTAAAAATCTATTCTAAGATTTTGAACTAGTTGATACCAAGACAAAACTACACATTTTAAACCACAGGAGTGCATCTTTAGTGAAGAACTCTAAAGCAAATTGAAGTAATCTTTCTTTAAAAATTCCTCGTGACACGTAACTCTTCAATCCTTTTCAAATAGCTGGTCACACTGGATACTCTGTCAAAATTAACTTGCCATAGAGATACATCTGGTAAAGGATATTGGGAGGAGCATGAAATTGGTCGATGTGACGAAATATTTGTTGGTTTGGCCTGGATAGAGCTAATAGTGTTGGTTTGTCCAAAAGTAGGTTGTCTTTGTGACCAACTAAGTTATCGTAAAATCCGGAATATGATAGAGCAAATTGTTGACTGTACAAACATATATATTCAAAATAAACCAAGGACAAAGTACAGCAGAGATCGAGACTGCAATCTTATTTCCTACTCTGAAATTGAGGCTTTACTTGGAGTTCTTTTTATAATTGCTGTAAAGAAAGGAAACCATACTAATGTTAAAGAGTTATAGAGCAAACATGGTACAGGGATGCTATTATTGAAGTTTTTAGTTACAGAATATTTTTGTTTCTTCTTCGAGTCCTAAGATTTGAAAACATACTGACAATGAAAGAAAGAGAAAAAACAGACAAGCTTGCAGCTATTAGAGACATTTATACAGAGTTTGTACATAATTGCATAAATAACTACTATATTCTAGGAGAAAATATAACGATAAACTAAATGCTGCATATATTTAGAGGTCGATGTGGCTTTTTGCAATACATGCCCCAAAAACTAGCAAAATATGGC